ATTCATATCTGTTACGTAATTGTATGATTGAATGAAATAGAAATTACTTCATTAGGAAATAGAAATTATTTTACACTTTTTAGTGCATTTCGAAGTCGGCGTATTTTTTTCCTTAAAATTATTTTTTGATTTTTCTTAAATAAAACTTAAATAAAATAAAATTAATTAATTAATAAATTAAACTTAAATAAAATTAAAATGAGACCAAACACGGTGTAATTCAGCACATATTTATTTGTCATTTCAAATGTTGAGCGTACATCGATGACTTTACCACAATAAGATATTGCCAGTAAATATAATTCAAATTACACCGTGTTTAGTCTCATTTTAATCAGAACAATGTTACAAATATGCTGGTGAAAGTTATATGTAAAAAAAGTCAATAATAGAAAAGTTTTACAATTTCATGTATAGTGTCCCCAATGTTTATCGTATGTCGATGAGTCTTTCCCTCTCTTTTTGGGGTCCCTCCCTTATTCCTGGTGATGGGGATGATTTCTTCGCGTGTCGATTTCTGTGTAAAGCGTAGTAGCGGTAAGTACGTCTCCGACATTTCTATTTATTCTTCCACTTATTTCATTTAATATTTATCACGGCATTTTCCATAGCATATTAATTAAATAATCTCTTTCTCTTCTTTCAGAAAAGAAAAACAAGAATAATAATAAAATAAAAAATAATGGAACCACTCGGTGGAAATGGTAAGAATATTCTTTTGCATGTATTTGTAGGAGGCCAAAAGCTGATGAAACATTGTAAATTTATATTGAATTTTTTATGCAGACGAATTGTACAGACCGCGACCAGAATGGTGGCCGCCGAGAGCATGGTGGCCAGCGCGGCCAGGATAGCTGCCGCAGCCACCACCGCCACCGTTTCCGGCGGGACCGCTGCCGCCCCCGGCGATGTTGTTGCCAACGGGGGGACCAGGGGTGCCACTCCAGACCCCGTCCCCGGCCCCCGCCCCGCGCCCACCGTCACCACCGGCTCCTGTAAGTTGAATAACAATTTCTCGTCGCGTTTTTCTCATTAAGGGGTAACATCACTCTAGGATTTTCAGAAAGTCCATTTTTTTTTCTTTGCTAAAACAATACTTTAGGGTCTTAAAAACAGAATGCCGTTTGATCTATAGTGGAAAACAAATTTTAAATGGTTCAATTATCAATTTTGCCGCAGCGCAACACAGCGCGCACTGAGTACTCGCGCGGTATGTTGCAATTCATCGCTTTCGTATTATTGTTATCATTTAAAATAATAAGTTTACTTGTTACCTACCAAACAAACAGAAGTATCCAGAAAGCTACAGAAGGTGGCAAACACTGATCTGGATAGCCAAATGTATAGTACAGGCATTGCAGATTAGCGGTGAACAGAGAATTTAAGGATCTAAATATTCATAAAACTTCCAACGCGTTTTTCTCGAAATCAGTTTCTTCATACTGGGAGGACGGATTTCTCGGTGACTATTGCATGGATTGAATTGAAATTTTTACAGTAGCTTCACAACAATATTGTCCGTACCATGTGTTTTGGTCATATACTGTGACGTGGTATTTTATACCCGTCACAAGGAGCCGCCTTGGGAGACCGGACAGGTCATAGGTCGTGGTCAATCCCCGTCTAGAGAGAGAACGATGCGCGTATAATATCGTAAGAACGAAATCTGCCGCTATACTATTTTGTATGTACCGCCAGAGAATGACGTCACTGTCAACGAAGGAGCAACGCGCGTCGAGGGAACACGCCGCTGCTCTGCCGCTACCCCGCTCGGACCCTCCGATAGACCAAGAGAGGCAGCGAAGTAAGAGAAAAGAACCCAGCGAGAAAAGACGTAAGTACGCCGAAGGAAAGTGCCGATTCCCTGCCGCTTCCCCGCTTCGGTCCTACGATAGAAGAAGAGAGGCTGTGGAGACGGAGGAGGTCCTGCCGAAGAAGACTTCGATAGAATTCGGAGACTCCGGCCGAGGGTGGGGGAAGGCTACGAGGTGTCCTAATACATAAAAGTTTCACGAAAAAATAGTAAGAAATAAGAAAGTTACAATCTTTTCCTTTGCTTGCATTAGTATGTGTCTCACCGATATTTGATCCTCGTCATTTCGACGACTGATCGTATTTCATTCTTGACTGATTCCGAAGGGGATCCCCCCAGTAGTGAGGATAGAATTTTAACATTTACGCTAGAGATCTTTTTATCATTTACGGAGAGAATACTGTAGTACCTATTGTATAAATGTGAAACTCCAGACCCAAAAATGTTTACACCTCATTATTTTTATCTTATTGCAGGTGAACAGGCGACGGAGAAGGAGAATGGCGGCCGCGTTGCGGCGGGCGGCGAACGAAGTGCTGCCGCCACACCCTCATCACAACAGGGACGAGGCGGTCGAAAGGACCGAGGACGGGGACGGGGCATCCCCGACGCCCCAAATGTATCAGCCAAATACTTTTCAATAAATCATTACAATTAATTACGTCTACATTATTTGCATGTATAACCTTACCTTAGAATTAAGTCTAAACAAATAAGTAGAAATTAAATAGAACAATATAGGCTAAAAACCGGAATTTAAGTAATTTTAAATACATTCAGAATCAATAAAAATGATATATTAGGTACAGTAATAAAATTCATTTATTAATTAATTTTACGTCGTAATCGGTTATGTGTCGGAACGTAAGACACTTTTCCAAGTAAAAAATTGGCTAATAGGTCAGGAGTCCTGCTTCGTAATCTCTGCATCTTGTTTGTCGAAGGTTCGAGTCCGCTGGACTTGGTTTTTTCCATGTTACGTTTTTCATTTTTTATTATTATTTTTATGGTGTCACTTCGTTAACTTATTAGTATGTTAATTTCATTGATTGTTCGTTATAATTTCCTATCCATTTAAAAAGAAATAATTATATATCGTAGAAAAGATCGGACAAATTGTTAAAAAAACATAAAACATAACTAATTTATTATATATTATTTCTGGAATTAATATTTTGTGTTTGCACATGATACATTTGAAAAGAAAATATCATGATACGATTGTTGTCATCTATTAGTTTTGATGCAAACTGTTTTTTAATGGTATGTACGTATAGCCAGGCCTGATTCCAGTCTCAGCACCAAGCAGCGCGATATCCCAGCGGCCATGTTGTTATTCAAACGGTTCGGATTTATTGAATTACGCGAGCCAAAACGCCTCTGCGAAGAAGTAATATTTCGACATGATTTCTTTTGCATACTATTCGAATTACGCGAGCCAAAACGTCAGAAGTTTAATCTAGGTCGGTCCACGGGCCGATTTTGCAATTTTGTCCAAAACAATTTTATGCACTGAAAAGAAAACTAACATTTCTTATAGAAGAAAATTTTTCACGTCCCATTTTTCCAAAATCGGCCTGCGGACCGACCTAGATTAAACTTCTGAGAGTAGTATGCAAAAGAAATTATGTCGAAATATTACTTCTTCGCAGAGTCGTTTTGGCTCGCGTAATGCGTGTTTTTTCGTAACATCATATTTACCGTTCTTATCTCTCCTAACCAAAAACACAGTAAATAGACAGAGAACATTGTACGAGTTCACACAATTCGCTTGCACTCTATGAGGGCGCCACATTCGTTTTGGCTAGCACCTTAAGACCCCTGAGAATCAGATCAAAGTCCGGGGTACGATGACCCTGACTTATTCAAAGATTCTACTAGACTTAGCGTTAGTGACTCGTTAAAAATTCCTACAGAAGGTCCTCTTAACCACACGTTCAAGAATTAACTGGGCAGACATGTCTTCTCTACAACCCTTTTTATACCCAAAAAATGGGCGGAAAAAGAGTGGTAGTGAAAATGGTGAGAAAGGATTAACACGTAGTTTTCGTGAGATAAATCTCCTTTGCGTTGGTCCCGAGTGGCCAGAAAATTCCTGTGTGATAGGGAAATCGCGATCAGCGGGAAAGCTAAGGTAGACTACATTCTTACTTCGCGTTGGTCTCAGAGTACGTACTACCAACCAGCTCGGAACTAGAAAAACGTTGAGCGTACGTAACATCTAAATGTTTTTAATTTACAGGGATGTTAATGAAGATATTGAAATAGTGTATGAAAGGGAACTTTTCGATTTATAAAGTTATCTAATTATAATATGCAATAACGTGAGTTAAAGCATTTCTATTAGCGTAACACGCTGACATTTTCAATAAGATTCTTTATACTTGTTTCAAACTAAATAATACTGTTAACGCTCGTGGTTCAAATAAATTCGCTCGAGCCTTGTTGTATATTGCACGTGGTTTGTTTTTATTATAAAATTTGTAACTATTTCCTTACTCGAAGGACCACTCCAAACTTGGAGACTATACAAAACTAATACAAGTTGTTGCTGTTGCGAATGTTAAGAGACGAATGTATATTTCTTATGAACATGAAAGCGCGGTACACGCGTACAGTTTTTACAGAGTAAGGGTGAGGGAAACAATTCTTAATTTCTATTGGCTGTACAAAATGGAATAGAAATGGAAGCTTGAGTGACATATGATGAGCCTGGGTTTTTTCCAAAAAATAACCATAGTAAGTAATAAAACCAAGCTGTAGCTTGACGTGAATAGAAACTGGAAATAACGGACTCTACTGCTAAACTTAAGGTTTTCGGCAATCAGATATAAAAGCAATAAACTAAAATACTCGATAGAATGTAACGACTCCTTGGGTGTTATTGCTGCTACAGATAAAGAAATTAATCGAAGGTCTGACCCCTTGCTATGAGACTATATTCTAAAGTTTAATAGCGGGCCTAAACAAATACTAAATAATGACACATAGGATGTAATAGGAAAATTGAATAAAGACATTTAAAACCTAGTTTATAAACACTAAGGTAAATATCACATGTGATAGAAGTCAGTGAGTCAATTATGATGCAGGTTGAATTATTTACCTATGTTTACTAAACTGTTTTTACTCCATAGATATAGGTCCTATGGATAGAAAAATCGACATTATTAACCCTTTCGCGCCGAGCACCGCATATATGCGGCATCCACTCGACGACCTGTGGGTCCGGGCGCCGCATATACGCGGCATCCACGCCACGACTTTTGGGTACGAGCGTTCTGTTCAGTGACGGTACTTCGGCGAACAGGCCTGCCGTAGCGAAAGGGTTAAGGGGTATTAATAAACAAACTAAGGATTCTGATGTAAAAATAAGTTGTTCGAAACATCGCCAAACAAGTAATAATTTAGAGCATTATCATATTTAGGTACGGGGAAAATTTCAAAATACATTCTGTATTTTTCAAAAATTATGTTGTTACAGCGTAAATTACAACTTTTCAATTTCAGAACTAATCAAGCTGTAAATTAAATTGGTGACCATCGCATATAAATTTATATTGTATACGATAAAACAGTTCAGAATTTTGGGTAATTGTTTGAGAGTAAGACAGTATAACTATTCAAAAGGACAAATGGATTATGTACCTTCATGAATTTTTATTAAAAATCCCATCAAATTCTTTAATAATTGTTTTGCTTTTTTTTAAAGGTACATTTTCAGAAAGTTTACTAATTTTTGGACATAAAGTTAATAAAAATAATAGAATTTTTTTTGGTCATTGCAGTGTGCAGCTCAATTTTTGAAGATAAAAAATTCTAGAATTTTTAAATAATGTACTGAATAATTGATATGTTTTGTATCAGATTTCTGAAATTTACCTCGCAAGAAAACGGTAGCAACTGAAGGTTAGGATATCGGTTATGATAAAAAGGGCATTCGTTTCTCGTAAGAAATATTATTAAAAAAAAAAATTTCAGGACAGATTAAATCATATAAATATGTTAAGTACAATAAGACTTACAAGGAAAGGCACGCAAGTGTCCCCCTTCGAATTTGATGAAACTTCGTAGGTTTGTTAAGCAGACAAAAATAAGGGACACGTATTTTTTGTTATCGGCTGAGACGCGGGTTTAAGGGGTGAAACGAGCCCTTAAAGTTTCGACCCCTTTTGACTATCTCGAAAACCATACGAGATACATTAAAACTTCTAATAGAAAAGTTGTATGGTTTCTTGCGTATAATAACAGGATGTTAACCAATTTTGCAAAATACAATTTGTTTATAACAAAAAAATTTTTCATAACCTTATTTTACAATTTATTCAAATTTGTATAATGACAAAAAGTGTAGAGAATTTTATTACAAATCCATTGGTATATATATATACAATATTGCCTCCTACAATTCCTCAGATTTTTATCATAAAGGTTCGCGCGCGCGCCCGCATGATACTAAACCGAATCATATCGGACGATATTACACTACCAGTCAACGTCATTTTTAAGCATAAATAAAAAACAATTATATTTGCGTTATACATAACTGTTAATTTTATTAAATTTGTATTACGAAACATTTATTGTTAAAGTATATAGGTATTCTATGTATATGTAAATTTTATAGGTAACTAATAGATTGAATAAGTTGGGGAACATAATCGTGGCAATAATGGTATTCTTCGAAAAAATGTTTCAAACACAACGGTTTCCGACATTAAGTATATGTAATAATAGGTACGTCACGGCATATGTATGTGGCATAGTGGTTCATTATGTGATGCATAGCAAAATATAGGATTTTAAAAATGAGGTGGTCTTGACGATATGTATCCACTTTATACCATGGGTTATTTGAACCTCGATTACAGCAGACCATATTTTTGTTATGGCATCGACATCCGGAAAACTTACAAAAGAAAATTTTAAAACCTGGTTAACAGAAGTTTATTCTCCAAATACAAACAACAAAACAGCTCTATTATTAGATTCTTAGA